GACAGCGAGTATGTTTGCCTCGTAGAGAACAATTGAGGCCAAACCGGACCCAACTGCAGTGCCGTTGACCAAAGCAAGCCCTTCCTTTGGCCGCAATTCGAAGAACCCCGATTCGATTCCTGCTAGCCGGAAGGCTTCCTTGGCATTGAGGGTTTCTCCGTTGGGTCCTACCGACTTAGAATTTGGACGGCCTGTAAGCAATCCAGCTATGTAGGACAGGGGAACGAGATCGCCGGAGGCGGTGATTGTGCCACGGAGTGGCAAGCATGGAGTGATGTTCTGGTTGAGGAACTTTGTGATTGCCTCTAAAATTTCAAATCGAATGCCAGAGTGCTAGAGTATCCCTGGAGCAGCGTGTTGATCCTGACCAGCATGGCTGCTGTGTTGGCTGAGTGAGGCAGCATATGTGGAAAAAAAAAAAAAAAGAGATGGGTTTAACTGCTGACCGTTTGGGACTTAACGGTCAGCAGTAACGGCAACATGGACGATGTTAGTGGAGGGACGACAACGAACAAAAAAAGCCAAGTAGAGGGACGACGTTTTGGCTCTTTGGAGAGTAGAGGGACGACAACGAACATGACCTTAGTAGAGGGACAAGAACGAATAAAATATTAAAGTAGAGGGACGACAGTTGGCTTTAAACCCACAAAAATCACCTGGCTAGCATGCTCAACAGAAATTAATAATTACTTTGCGTCTACTTTAACCTTAGTTTGGATTGACAAAGTTGAAGAGAAAAAGAAGGAGAAGAAAGGAGAGATATCTCCTTATGGTGTTTGGATAACTTACTTTAACAGAGATGGAGGGAGATGTAACCTCTTCATCTCTCTATTTTCAATTCTTCCAAATCATATGATTTGAAGGGATTGGTTATATATATATATATTAAATATTTTTAAAAAATAAATATATAAATATATTTTATATTAATTATTTTGTTAACAAGTGAACTTTAAAATTTTTATTTTATTTTATTTTATTTTTTAAAAAATTATTTAATTAAATAAAAATATTATTTTTGACTTTTATCTATCTAAATAAAATTACTTTTCCTTTCTTCCCTTCACTAATTTTTATCCAAACATAAAGTACCAAAGAACCAAAAATTACTTGACATTCCGAACCCCATATAGGAAAATATTAAAGTCACAATTCATGAAACAAAAAATAAATTCAAATGTATGAAAAAAAAAAAAAAGAAAAGAAAGTTGAAATCTCCATAAGAGATTTTCATAGGATAATCAGGATGTCTAGCCAATTAAATTGTCAGGTTAAAAATACTATAATTGAATTAATGATTTCACAAGGATTGATAGGAGGTCGTGATTTTCACTTTTCTCTTCCTAATTTTCACAAACACTGCATAATTTATCTAACAGCAAGAAACTATTTCTGACTATCTACAAATTTTGATTCAAGAGAATATATAAAATTCCAACAAGTAAACAGTACGTACGTGGACTTTTCTAGGGAAGTCTAGAGATATCGCCCCACTGATAATAAAATAAAATGTTACCGGAGGAATGGCACAAGGCTACGGCAAAGAGTCGGTGACTGCCAACTCCGGAGGTGGAAGATAAAAAAAAAGAAGAAGAAGAAGTAACCAACTGCACTCCAAGCAGAAACTAATAGTCTGCGATACATCGAATCTCGAACTAAGGAGTGTGTTGGGAATTTTGAGCACCATAATCCCACACATATGAAAGCAATAAAAAAATTGAAACAATAATTTAATATAATTTAACTTGTATACATTTTAACAAATTTACGTTCACAGGAGAAAGAAATAAATTTACTATTAAAAAAATATAATAATTTAGAAACTTTCTCACTCAAAAAGTTCTCAACACCTTAGTTTTAATATATAGAAGCTTCAAAAATCTCCCTAATATTTTCTCTTAATCTTCATAAAGATTTTCCCACAATTTCTCTCTTTCTTGTCTCTCACAAGAGCACCCATTCACTTAGCTCTTCTCTTGCTTGCTCTCACTGTTGCTTGCCCATTGCCTTTGCCTGCATGGGTATTTATAGTGAAATATCCCAACCACCCCAGCAAGTTTTTCTTTGCCTCATTACCACCAATCCATGATTTTCTTTGCTCATTACATGGGGTCAACATGCAATCTTGCATGATTTCAACAAAGCAATTTTAGTTCACAATTGGCTTATAGGCCGATGAAGAAAACTTCCACATGGAAAGTCCATGTGTTCACATGGGGTTGGACTCTCTACCAACAATCTCCCCTTCCAACCCCATGGGAGGAGAAACCAACCATGACTCCATACACTTCAACATTACCATAATTTAGCTCCCTCTGCTCAATAACACTTAATCATGGTGTCATATTTTTGAGAGTTTTCTCCTAGTATAAGATTGGACAAACCTACACTAGGCATACAACAGATATTAATTTTGGACCAAATATGATCCAAGGAAAAATCACCTCCTTGAACAATCATCAAACACCACTTCATTGTTGAAGCTCACCCTCTTTTTGGTCATATTAATTTCCTTGCCATCTACCAAGATCCCTTTAGGCTTCCACACCATCTTCCTCATGGTCTTGTTAAGCCTTCTCTTAGGATGTTTCTTGAGCACATAGATGTTGTGCCTGTTTTTCCACCCATGCAAAACAAGTCTTCAACCTTTATAAACCTTGCACCATTCTTGCTTTCCAACATACTTGTATCCTCGTGTTGTCAACTCACTCAAAGCAATAATATTGTTTGAACACTTTGGTACATATCTCGCATTCTTGAGAATCTTGGCTCTTCTATTGTGAACATTGAGACGAACATCTCCTATGTGTTCAATATTCACCTTCTCATTGGTAGCCATCGTTATTTTGCCAAGTCCCCTCAAACCAAATTCACAAATTTAGAAGGATTATTGCACACATGCATAGTTACAGCAAAGTCCAAAATCCACTTCTTATTGTTTTTCTCCACCTCATGATCACACTCTTCACAAACTAATATTTCAACCACATTTTCTTTAATAGTATTAGCCTCCTCCTTGCCCTTGGTTTCTTGCTTTTTCATCAATATTTTCATACTAGAAAAATCCTCCTTAAACTTCAGGCATTTATATTGTTTGTGACCCAACTCACCACAATAGAAGCACTACACTTCACCATAATCCTTCTTAGTTCTAGATTTTGACCTTTCTCGATTTCCTCCACCTCTATGTTCATTGGATCTTCCCCAAGATTGCTCCATCATCAAAGCATTATTTTGATTGGCACCATCTTCCCCAAGAAACTTATCATTTTCCAACAACATGGTTGTGACATCTTTCATCACCAAAGTAGTCTTACCCACTATCATACTTTGCAGTAAGGACTTGTAAGGCTTAGGTAGGGATGTAAGTAAAAGCAAAGCTTTCTTCTCTTCTTCTAGAATACCCCCGACATTCACTACTTTTGTCACCATCATGTTGAAATCAAATAAGTGCTTGTGAATATTAGTGCCTTCTGCCATCTTCAATTGATATAGCTCCATCTTTAAATACAATTGATTGGTTAAAGATTTTGAAGCATATATCTCCTCAAGCTTCTTCCACATGCCTATTAGAGTAGTCTCTGAAAGAAAGTTGTATTTCACCTCCAATGCAAGCGTCAACCAAATTTGACTTGCTACCTTCTTTTGGATAGTATTCCAATCACTATCCTTCATCTCAGCTGGCTTGGTCTCTTCTAAAACTGCATTAAGCCCTTGACAAGTAAGGACCTCCTTCACAGTGCTTTGCCATAGAGCAAAGTCATTCTTGCCATCAAACAACTTAATTGAATACTTCATGGTGTTAGTTTGCATTTCTCCACAATATCCAGAAGCTCTACTAATAACTCTGATACCACTTGTTGAGAATTTTGAGCACCACAATCCCATGCAAACAAAAGCAATAAAGAAATTGAGACAACAATTTAACGTGGTTCGACTTGTACACCTTTTAACAAGTCCACATCCACGAGAGAGAGAAAAATAAATCCACTATTAAAAAAAGAGTACAATAATTTAAAAGCTCTCTCACTTAAGAAACTTTCAACATCCTAATTTCAATATATAGAAACTCCTAATTTCTCCCTAATACTCTCTCTTAATGTTCATAAGGATTTTCTCATAATTTCTCTCTTTTTTTTCTCTCACAAGAGCACCCACTCACTTAGCTCTTCTCTTGCTTGCTCTCTCTCTTGCTTGCTCTCTCTCTTGCTTGCCCATTGCCTTTGCATACATGGGTATTTATAATGAAAAATCTCAACCACCAAGCAAGTTTTTCTTTGCCTCATTACTACCTGTCCATGATTTTCTTTGCTCATTAAATGAGATCAACATGAAATCTTGCATGATTTCAACAAAATAATTCTAGCCCACAATTGGCTTATAGATCGGTGAAGAAAACTTTCACATGAAAAGTCTATCTGTTCACATGGGTTCTACCAATAGACTGTACTATTACCACTTGAAAAGGTGCAGTTTGGTTCTGGTAGCGCAAATCACAATGCCTGCGGGGCAAAGCAAATCACGCGCAAAGAGGTGAAAAGGAAAGAGGAAAAATTTAACTGAAATTTTAATTATAGGAGAAATTTTAGTGTGCTTTTGTTTTCGAGCTTTGAAGAGAGGAAGTGGTTTCAATTTAACGATTAAATATTTATTATAAGTAATAATAATTATTAGTTATTTAATATTAATTATTAAGTGTTAATTATATTAAATTAATTAATTTAAATATTTTTTAGAGTTATGTTTATTTTATTTTAAAATTTTAAAATTTATATTATATTTTATTTTATAAAAATTAAATTTAAGGTTTTAGTTGGTTAGGGACTTAATATTATATTATATTGTAATTATAAATTTTTTATATTAAAATAGTGATTAAAATTAATAAATATATATAAATTAATTTAAAATTAATTAAAAATTATAAGTTTATATTTTTAAATAAAGTACTTTTTTTGGGAAAAATTTTCTTTTAGTGGGTCTTTCAAACATTTTCTCTAGATTAAGTGAAAAACCCGATATTTGCTTTAAAATAGTGGAAATGTGTTAACAAAATCTATCACAAGTGTCTCTAAGGGCATGTTTGGTGGAGTTTCTTAGATCTTTTATTTTTTTTAATATTGTTTATCAGTTATAAGTTTAAGTTTTTATTGAAGAGAAAATTTAAAAGTTGTTTTTAGAAATAATAAGAAGTGAGTAAGAAGTAAGTAAGAAATAAGTAAAAAGGAAATTTATAAAAAAACAAGAATTTGACGCTTTTCAAAATTTACTGTTTAAGGTTTTTTTAAGATTAAAAAGAAATTAAAAAATGTAAGTTTTTAAGAGGAAAATTTAAATTTATGAAATATGAATATTGTAAAAAAATTGAAGCACTTATAAATTTTACCAAATATACTCTAAATATCATTGGTTTATGAGGGTCACATTCTACAATATTTGAAATACACTTTTAAACTAATTTCAGTAAAAAGAAAAATGAAACTGTCGCTAACTTTCTCTCTTAAACTCAGTTTTGATAGGCAAAGAATTCTTGATGAAGTCTCTGCCAATCCCCATTTCTTTCTTTTGAGTTTTTTTTTTTTTTTTAATTTTTAACTTGGTTTTTAAGTATTGGTTTTTAATTAATTTCTTTTAATATATGTCTTTAAAATACAAATTAAGGATGTAATTTAATTTTATCAGTTAATTAATTAAAATAATATACGTAGTATTAGTGTTAATATTAATATCAATGTTTTTATTTTTTTGTATAAAATTTAATGGTTAAAAAGTGTAATAATTGTATCTTTAAAATGTATTTTAAGAGTGTTTGTTAAAAGTACTCTTTAATTAATGGGATTTTCTAATTTGTGTTCTTAGGGCACATATTAAGTTTTATTTATTATAATATTTATAATTACTTTTTCAGAAAATTTTATATAAGATTCAAATAAAATATAATATATAATATAAAAATAAAATAAAATATTTTATCTCAAAATCTGTAAAAAATTATAAATTTGATATGAAAGTTTATGCAAAATTAATTAAAAATACCTTAATTAATAAGTTTTAAACAGGTTAGATAACCCCTTAATTAATCATATATGAGTGGGATGCACCCCCACCCCCCCCTCCACCTCCAAAAAAAAAAAAGACTGCAAAACAAAGCATGGACAAATGAAGCATAAGAATTGTTGAACGGTGAAAATATAATATAACTCCCAATTTATGTATCTTTCTAAGAAATAGAAACAAAAGTTTTAAGTTTAAATTATATACCATATCAATGGAGTATCTTAAAATTGAGAGGGGTTCTCAAGTATTATTTAATTTAATACCCATCAGATGTCGAGCTAGTGGTGTATGAATTATTTTCCTAATAATAATGATGATAAAAATAATATACCCAAACCAACTTTTAATAAAAAATTTTCAAACCCTAAAGGTACATGTGTTACGATAGCCAAGTAAGGTAACTAATTAATTGTCATACATGGCACTAACAGTCTATTAATGTGGTTGCCAAAATAAGTGAATTGTAGGTTGAACAATAATGTATTTTGAATCCAACCTTCCGTTTTATCAGGGACAATTCTCTTCATAGCTTCTTATCATTTCCATCTCAAAAGTACATATAGGATTGATTATATGCAAATGAATCCAGGAAATTCTTCTCTCCAAGATGAAGAAAACGAATTAAAGAACCAAGGTGGAGGACAATTCGTAGAGCCCAAACAAGGTATGGTGAAATGAAAACTAAATTATGTTATGTCACTTATGTGAGTAGTAAAAAAATTAAAATAAATAAATCCATATCTTGCACGTAGATTTCACGTGCTAGAAACGATATTTACATGAATTTAATATGAATCAGATCTCTCTTTTATTTTTTTAGTTAACATCTCGATTTGTCAATATTACTTTATAAAATTCATTATTCAAATGCTATGTGATATTTCTTCAATTGTCTTAATTAATTTAATTATATTTTTTT